GGGCCTCCCCGGTGGCGCAGCAGTAGAGCGCTGGGTTGCGAAGCTGCCCGCGGCCTCTGCAGTGCCTTCGATCCCCGGCTGCTCCCCGGCCACCAGAGGAGGGTCCCACATGGCGCGCAGACCTCTCCTGCCGCCCGCTGCTCCCCTCAGCAGTGTACTTCGGTCCTTCTGCCTGCTCTGCTCCCCGCTCTGGCTCTGGTGAATTCTCTCACCCTCCCGCACTTCTGACTGTACCCAGTGCATGTATAAACCAAACAAACAAACAAACAAATAAATAATAACATGCTTCTATTAAAAAAAAAAAGGAAAGGAAAAGATGCACATAACTTAAAGCCCAGAAGAAAGGCTATATAAGAAGAAATATGATTGAGGATATATCAAACTCAGTGAAACTTGCCCCCTTAATGAAAAGCAAGGTTAATTTTTTTATACCTAGGCAAATCAGAGTAAAATAGCTAAAAAAAATGAAGAAAACGGAGAAAATCTTAAAAGGAGCTTAGTGAAAAAAACATAGTACTTTGAAATAGATACACTTAATTTTAATTAATACAATTAACAATACTATAAAAGAAGTCAAGTGAAAATGCAAGACATCAAAAATATGGTAACAAAGTGATTATGCCTTTCATGGGTTTGCCAGCTGAGTTGACATAGCCAAATAAAACATCTAAAACTGGCCCCATCCATGTGTGAAAACTTGATTCTGATGGGAGTAACCAAGCAAAACTACGGTGAAACAACTGTCTTTCCAGTAAATTGTTCTAAGACAATGACATATTTATTGGGAAATTAAAAATAAAAATGACCTTCTAACTTATACCACATACATAAAACCACTCTAGGTTCATTGTAGGTTGAGATGTAAAAACAGAACAATAAAGCTCTGGAAGATAATATGTAGAGAGTGTCTTCGAGACCTTGAGGTAGCAAAAGACTTTAGAAAAGACAGAGAAGCACTAATTCTAATGAAAAGTAATACATATTGATGACATTAAAATAAAAATATCAACATCTTAATTCCTGATTCACTCGAGGACTAACCATTATTACTTTGGTATTCTTTCCCCAAATGCCAACCTCAGTATATTCTTTATTCTAAACTGAGAGACATTTGGACACAATAACGACCAACATCTAACAAAGGTCATGGTTCAGAAAAGTAAACATAGTCTAAGGAACTGAGATTGAAGGAGATCAAGGAGGCAATTAAGGGCCTCCCCGGTGGCGCAGCGGTTGAGCGCTGGGTTGCGAAGCTGCCCTCAGCCTCTACAGTGCCGGTTCGATCCCCGGCTGCTCCCCGGCCACCGGAGGAGGGTCCCACATGGCGCGCAGACCTCTCCTGCCGCCCGCTGCTCCCCTCAGCAGTGTACTTCGGTTCTTCTGCCTGCTCTGCTCCCTGTTCTGGCTCTGGTGAATTCTCTCACCCTCCCGCGCTTCTGACTGTACCCAGTGCATGTGTAAACAGAACAAACAAACAAATAAATAAATAAATAAACATGCCTCTATAAAAAAAAAAAAGGAGGCAATTAAACGTAATGTAGAATTCTAATTGGCCCCTAGAATAAAAAAAAAATTACATTAAGGGAACTCTGGTGAAATTTGAAAAAGGTTATGACTCAGTTAATGTTAATTTTCTAATTATTATATTTATACAATGGTTTTGTAAGTTATTAACATGGACTTCTGTGTATATGTAAACTCTATTATATCTGCAATTTTACTGTCTACTATTTGTGCAATTTTACTGTAAGTAAAATTATTTTAAAATAAAATTTAAAAAAAAAAGGACATCTGTTAACAAAAATACCATTAAGATGAAAATCCTTAAGTAAGAGATGGCATTCACACTTTTCAGTGCGAGCAGGCTCTTATCCAGAATATATCAAGGACTTCTCTACAAAGTCAACACAACTGTCCACTGATGTAATCTATTATGAATTAGTATGTCAGATTCAGATTTCAACTATGTTGTATTTATTTAGAAGAAAGAAAGCTCTTACTGATGTTGCCACATTGGCACAAACAACATAAGCATGTGGCGGAGTTATTTTGATTTTTATGGCAAGAAATTCATTTTATTTTACCCTTCAAAGGAAAATCAAGGCCAGATAATCTAAGATACAGGAATAGAGGGTCATGGAGAAAATGCAATTTGGATGAAATGCATAAACAGTGTTCAAAGAGATAAAGATGAAGGACACTCAATGGCAATAATTTCAGAGGAGCCTCAAATCCTGCATCAAAAATCCCACAAGAAGATAAAGAACAATAAAAGTGTACTTCTTGAAGTTCTCCTGAGAAGCCTCTTCTTTTTTTTCTGATGAACCTTCTGGCCGTTCCATTAAGGGTTAGCTCTTCTATACTAGACAACTTTCAGCTTTCTACCATTTGTAGTTACATTGTCAGTGGATATAATTTATCATGAAATTTGCTAAAATGCAAAAAAAAATGGACAATATCATTAAATATTAGCTGCACTTAAATTTATTTCAGGCTTCTAAACTAATTAAACTATATGTACCAAATGTAGTTTGTTGATAGAATGAGTGTTACTTTTATCCCTAACTAAGAGGTTAGGAATGATTTTCACTGTTGCTACAACCCTAACAATGAAAACACAAAACCCTAGTAGTATAGCTCTTTAAATGCTTATTTTTTTTTATCATGTGTATGTCACTTTGAAGAGTTTCACAACACTATGAAATGGTAGGTTAGTTTATTATTACCCATTTTAACTTTATTATTTGCCATGTTATCTTCCTCTTTAAAAAGTACTTAAGGTAACTTGACATGTGGATAAATAAGAGAGGGTGAGCAAACGAGAATGGAAAAGGCAAGATAAAAGCCAAAATAACACAAATACACACAATTCATGCCAGGAGGACTCATCCATTTGCATGAGGTGGGTAATAAATTTGGTTATATTTTCTAGTATGTTGAATAAAACAACTGAATTTAATACTCACATGCATAGAAGAAAACTTACCTGATTCCCAAGAGAAACAAATGACCCTTGAAACTGAGTATAAATAACACTATATCCCAGGAGCTCTCATAAAGGGGACATTGTATTATGCAACCACCTTTAGTAAATGAAACAGTAGATTACATAACGTTGTCTCTTAAATGCCCTCAAATCTTTACAAGAAGTCAATATGCTATATTCTAGCTATACTGACCTCCACTGTTGTTGCTCTAGAAGAAATCCTAAACTTTATGTCTCTTGGGCAATAATTAATAAATGCAATTTCCCTCAGCTGACATTTTTGTAACAAATTTGTAGCAATAAACTAAAGAATAAAGTGAAGTTCAGCTATACTGTTGAGATAAAATGTAGATTCATTTGTGTTAACATTCAGGCATGTTGGAAATAGAATTAGTATACTTTCTTACATGGAGAAGGGTCGAGGGAAAATTCTTGGACTGGGCCAAAATATTCCTCAAGAAGTTGGGGTCTGCTGAAGCCTACATCAAAGGGAGAATTACAAGGCCACAGGTTTCTCTTATAGATTATGGCTACAGATACTTGAGTATTAAAAAATGTGTTACTCAGAAAACCTCAGTGATATATTCATGTGGCCTTTAATTTAAAGTAATACTATGTGTACTGTTTCTGCCAAGATTCACTATTTGCAACATACATATAAGCCAGTTAATCATTTAGGTTGGATGGGAAGAGGTTTAATCCATCTGTTAATAATTAGAAGGAGAGCTAATTATTTTCTATTCCCTAAATATTTATTCCAGCTATTCACAGTAGCCAGGACATTGAAACAACCTAAGTGCTTCCTGATAAAGGATTGGATGATAAAGACCTGGAATTTATTATATATGATGGAATGTTATTTAATCACAAGGAAAGATGCAACGTTGGAAGGAGTTTGAAACAATTATGTGTAGTAAAGCAAGTGAGAATAACAACAACAAAATAGTGGATATTTATACAGCAGATGAATAGACAAAGGAAAATACTTAGAGAAACCAGTGAACATTAATAACAAGAAAGGTTTCTGAGATTAAGAGAGGAGGAAGGAGACAAGATGAAAGAGGTATAAGGGATGGGGGTGGGGGAAAAAACAAAAGAAAAAGAAACATTCTTTACCTTTTTTTTGTGGTACATATACACAATGGAATATTACTCAGCAATCAGAAAAGATAAACACATGCAGTTTGCAGCAACATGGATGGAGCTAGAAGGGATCATGCTCAGCGAAATAAGTCATTCCTTACCTTTTGATCTATGAGTACCGGAGCATCATTTAAGGAAGTTGCCCAATTTACAAAGTCAGTCACATCCACTATTTTCTTTTCTTTGGAAAGCTTCTCTTTCAGTTCAAATGCATATTTATGGGTTCCTCCTCTTATGAGGGAAATAACTTTATCTATGAGGCCATCACGGGAGATGTTTACTAAGAAGAGAAGGAGGATGTAAGTAAATTACTTATAGTTCTATGACAATATTTTTATTTTAAGATTTATTTATCTATATATACAAGAACTGGGGTACAGGCCAGAGGTGTGGGGGGTGAGAAGATTCACCAGAGACAGAGTGGGGAACAGAACAGGCAGACTAACTGAAATACATTGCTGAGGGGAGCAGCAGGCGAGTCAGGAGAGGTCTGCTGCGCCATGTGGGTCACCTTCCTGGCCGGGGATCGAACTCATGCTGCAGTGGCTGCAGATGGCTTCATAATGCTGCATCTTAACCCCTTGCGCCTCCAGGGAGGCCCCAATAATTTTAAAAACCCTTTAGTATAGTGTAGTATACTTACTGAAAAATCTTACTTTTTTTTTTTAAGATTTATTTATTTATTTATACAAGCACTGGGTACAGTCAGAAGCGCAGGAGGGTGAGAGAATTCATCAGAGCCAGAGCGGGGAGCAGAGCAGGCAGAAGGACTGAAGTACACTGCTGAGGGGAGCAGCGGGCGGCAGGAGAGGTCTGCGCGCCATGTGGGACCCTCCTCCGGGAGCTGGGAAGCAGCTGGGGATCAAACTGGCACTGCAGAGGCTGCAGGCGGCTTCGCAACCCAGCGCTCAACCGCTGCGCCACCGGGGAGGCCCTTACTTATTTTTTTTTTAAGATTTATTTATTTATGCATACAAGAACTGGGGTTACAGGTCAAAGGTGTGGGGGGTGAGAGGATGCACCAGAGACAGAGTGGGGAGCAGAACAGGCAGATTGACTGAAATACACTGCTGAGGGAAGCAGTGGGTGAGACAGGAGAGGTCTGCCTCACCATGTGGGTTTCTCCCTGGCCAGCCCAGGGATCAAACTCATGCTGCAGAGGCTGTGGATTGCTTCATAGTGTGGCGCTTAACCCCTTGAGCCATCAGGGAAGCCCAATCTTACTTTTTTTAAAAAGATTTATTTATTTATACAGGCACTGGGTATAGTCAGAGCACGGGAGGGTGAGAGAATTCACCAGAGACAGAGCAGGTAGCAGAACAGGCAGACTGATGAAGTACACTGCTGAGGGGAACAGCGGTTGTCAGGAGAATTCTGCACGCCATGTGGGACCCTTGACAGCGACTGGGGATTGAACCTGTGCTGCAGAGGCTGCGGGCAGCTTCGCAACCCAGCGCTCAACTGCTGTGCCACTGGGAAGGCCCAATCTTACTTATTTTTGATAATATTTTTAACCTAACTTTGCAATTTTTACTAGTAGAAAGTTACAGACTTCAATCATATTTTATAAAAAATTAATGGTATGATAGAGATACATTAATAATTTAGTTTTAATCACATACATATACAGGAAGCAAGCATGACTTTCGGATGTGCTATGTTTTTTTATTGCATACTTGCTTTCATAATTATGTTTTATATAGGTATGCTTTATGCTATTTTTGATCATAAAAAATCAAAGCACAAAAAGAATAAAGTGAAAAGCAAAATTTATTTCCATCCCCAATTTCTACCCATCTCACTTGTCTTTTTTCTGTCCAAATTAAACACTTTTAACAAATGTCTGTGAGCTTTTTAGAGTTGTGAATGTTTAGAACTGGAAAGGAATTTCAAGATGATTTTGTTTTCTTCTCCCTAAATTTTACTGATGAGAATTTGAAACTCACAGAGGTAGAATGACTACCTGAAGGTTATACAATTAGTTTTAAGAGTTTTAAGAGATTTTATGGAAATAATGATATTTAATGACAAATTCAGCTTTCTTTTCATTTCGTCAGTGGTTTCTAACCATGACCATGTATTAGTGGTTGATATGCTTTTAAATAAATGTTTTCTGGTGCAATTATCATTTGACTCTATATAAAGGGGAGTCCTTGGCAATTGTATTATTAAAACTGCTCTCAAATAGATTTCTGATTAGAGAAAATGTTGAAAACTCTGGGATTAACTCACACATGTAAATCTGATAAAGATTAACAACAGAATTAATATTTACACCAAAGATATTTATATATTTTAAAAGGTTATGCACTGATTAAATGTTAAGGATACATTAGGGTTTTAAAGTCAGGTGATAGGTTGAAATGGGGAGATGACTTTGGATTCCATAATTAATAGATACATAGTACTACGGAAGCTTTGTTAAAGTTAGAAGGAAAAAGGGAACTTTTATCCAAGGTATTTTTCCATCATTTACCTTTTGCCATTACCATAATAAAGATACAAATCCACAATAACTATACTGAACTATACACTGTAGAGTTGAGCATTCCATAATCTGCACTATATTGATATTGACCACTAAGTGTCCATTAGTTACATGTATTTATAGTGGTTTGGAAACCACTTTAAAGGTAAAATAGTTTTCAAGCATCTTCAGTATGTTTTAAATAAAGAGGGTTGATCACAAGGAGGCTTTCAAGTAAGAAGGCAGGACTTATTGATATCTCCTCCCACTGACTTTTTAACTTAATAAATTGGCCATACTTACCAACTTGATTTCCATGCTGCTTTAAACAAGGATTTCTTTCAACCTTTTGTGTGAGTTCAATGTCAGTATTTAGATTTATGTTTGCATCAAACCCAAGGCATTTCCGTATATCCCTTAGTTCAACACCTGTTAAATGCATTAGGTTAAAAATTATTAGATAATGATCATCAACATTACAAAATAAATTCCAGTTTCACTATTTTATAAGAACCATATTTCTCAGACTCCTAGAAATCATTGCTAAAGTGAAAAGCAAGGTCACGCCTTCCCTGCTTTGTCTTCAGTAATAGAATCTTGCAGCTTTTTTTTTAAATTTTTTATTTTATATAATTCTTATATCATTTTTCATTTTTGCATAATGTATGCATTATCATTTTGGTTATATTCCCCATACAATTGTACCCCTCCCCTTATTTTGACCCTAGTCCTTCCTCTCCCCTCACCGCCCCCCTCCCCCCACCGCCATGGTATTTGTCTGGTTTATAGTTGCTTGTTGAGAATCTTGTAGCTTTTGACTTTGACTTTCCTTGTTAACTTAATGGCAAAATGACATTCATTTTCCCCTTTATATAGAAGTGACATTGGTCAGTCTAGGAGGGATGTATTAAAGTCCTTTTTCTCTGGTATAGGAAAACAAAAATGTGTAATATGTATTGAATGATGATAATAGTCCCAGCATCATCCTAATCAGTTTGTATATATTAACTACTTTAAAATCCCCATAATGATTTTATAAGGTATGTTCTATTATTATGGTCATTTTACAGATGAGGATACAGAATCACAGAGCAGTTAAGTACTCTACTGGTAATACTCAGTTAATAATTAGTCAAGTAGACATTGAAACCCATGCTGTCTGGTTATTGATTACTTCTCTGTATCTACATTCATAATTTGGTCATGGGATATATCAACAGCTCCTGATCCTCTTTGGAAGACTCAGCTTATCAGTAAGAGAGTTAGTTCATTGCTTCGGGTAGATGGCTTATATAAATGACAACTTTGTTTTGGTGTTAAGAATGCTGTTTAGTAGACACCAGTCTTAGAAGCTGACTCATCATGGTGTGTGGATGCTCCACTTAATAGGAAGAAAAATCCTAATATTTACTCAATTATACAATTTATTATTTATTCCTCTGATTTATTTTATTTATTTATTTATTTTTAAAGATTGATTTATTTATTTATACAAGCACTGGGTACAGTCAGAAGTGCGGGAGGGTGAGAGAATTCACCAGAGCCAGAGCGGGGAGCAGAGCAGGCAGAGGGACCGAAGTACACTGCTGAGGGGAGCAGCGGGCGGCAGGAGAGGTCTGCGCGCCATGTGGGACCCTCCTCCGGTGGCCGGGGAGCAGCCGGGGATCGAACCGGCACTGCAGAGGCTGCGAGCAGCTTCGCAACCCAGCGCTCAACCACTGCGCCACCGGGGAGGCCCTGATTTATTTTATTTTAAAGTAAACATTCCAGACCTCAGCTTATTGATCATGTCAGTTTTTTTTTTTTTATAATTTTTTTTAATTTTTTTTTTTTTTAAGATTTATTTATTTATACAAGCACTGGGTACAGTCAGAAGCGCGGGAGGGTGAGAGAATTCACCAGAGCCAGAGCGGGGAGCAGAGCAGGCAGAAGGACCGAAGTACACTGCTGAGGGGAGCAGCGGGTGGCAGGAGAGGTCTGCGCGCCATGTGGGACCCTCCTCCGGTGGCCGGGGAGCAGCCGGGGATCGAACCGGTGCTGCAGAGGCCGCTAAATGACCCCAAAGAGCTTAGATTTTCTGTCTCAGCTGTGGGCCTTCCTATGACCAGGCAGAGGCTAGACATCCCAAATTGAGGCGAAGGAAAGGCCTTGGTCCTCAGATACTGTCACTGGAGAAGTGAAATAGATGATTTCCTCTTCAAAGATACTGGGATTAACTGAAAGATCCCAGTTGACTAAGGCCAGAGGGTAAGAAGACTTAAGTGGATATGTTTAAACTGTCCAAGATTAAAGATGTCAGCCCATGGAAATTTTTCACCAAAAAAAACTCTAGGTCTAAAGGATTATTTGTGCTTTGATCACCCTTGTTGAACCTTGTTTTTGTTTTCCAAGTTCTCTTGTGCCTCTCCCCCATGTACTATCTACCAAAATAGGCCTCATAAATAGGCAGGGCTCATAAAGACCTCACTGTACTCTTATAGGATAGAGCCTTGTGAGCAGGATAAGCCAAGCAATTTCATATTCCACTTTCCCTGGCAATGTGTCTTGCCCAAGACAAGACTGAGGCAACAAGAGCAAGGGATTCTGGCCACATTATGTTCGTTTCATCTGTAAAGTGTTTGCCAACAGCGGGGAGAATGCTGGATTTGAAGATCATAGCTGCAACCTATTCTTCGCTTGACGTAGACTGGGGAAGCACCTGTGGAAGTGATTTTGGCAACACTTTCCTCACTAAGAGGCACATCTAAAACTGCCAGGGCAGAGAGAAATGTTGGCCCCTTCTACCTCTTTAAAGAATATTATAACTAGGGCCTCCCCTCGTGGTGCAGTGGTTGAGCGCTGGGCTGCGAAGCTGCCCACAGCCTCTGCAGTGCTGGTTCAATCCTTGGCCACCGGCGAGGGTCCCACATGGCATGCTGCACCTGCTGCTCCCCTCAGCAGTGTATTTTGGTCCATCTGCCTGTTCTGTTCCCCCCTCTGGCTCTGGTGAATTCTCTCACCCTTCTGCACTTCTGACTGTACCCAGTGCTTGTATAAATAAATAAATTAAAAAAAAGAATATTATAACTAGTTGTAATTTCTTACAAAATAAATAATTAAAATTTCTTATCCTTACTTTGTATCTACTTTTTTGAAAGTCTTAGATGAAGCCTATAGACCAGAAAGATAATTATGTAGCACCCAGGCCTATCCTGTGTATCTAACCGACACTGATGACCAACTATGACCCTCTTTGCAATGATATCTAGATGTCCAGGATGAAGCCAACCCAAACCATGTGATTAAAATTGCCATCACATTAGGTCAAGCTAACTTTCCACCCTGGCTTTAAGATGTTAGACTTATAGGATGTTAACATTACTTTCTCCCTCTTTCCTGAGAGAAAATTCATAATGTTTCCCTTCCAACAAGGCAAAATCCTTGCAACATAATTTTTGTGCATATAATTGGACAAATCTACTGATTAAGAAATAGGCTATGTAAATTATGTCTCTTGTACCTTCTCTCATCTTTAAAATAGTACTTCACTAAAAGCAGCATCACCAAATAATACTAAATCACTATGCAATTTTGTGTATTACTCAGTATGGTGCTGACTATTGCAAGATCAAATCATCTTGTGTGAGGTAGAAGACAAATTGCAGTCTGATATAGGGTCTTAGTTTCCAGGGTCAGGAAGAAAGTCAAAGAAGAAAATTATAAGACTCTATTCTAAAATCTTTAAAAATTACAAGAGATTGGGAATAGGAATAAGGGTTGGTTAAAACAGTACTAAATTAGAACTCTATTTTTGGTGTACCTTTATCACGCATAGATGCTTTATCCAAAACATATACTAGTTCATAACGTCCTCCTATAGACCCAGAGGCACTATAGTGGGTTCCATAGGTTTCCAAAAATGCAAAATATTCCCCCTTTTCATAGGTAGCTGGCAGAGCCTTAATATCATCTATGAACGTTGTCGTCAGCATGACATTCCGATTTCTCATTACAAATCGTCCCAGCTGAATAATTCCATTCACGTGGAGAAATGCTTTATTCTTTGTTGGAAAGTAGAAGAAAAGAAATGTGAGTTTTATCATTGTATTTCAAATTAAAAAGTCACAAAATTTAGAATTTCAACAGGAAATACATATTTTAGAAGTGGCCATGAGTTACCACTTTAACCCATTAGAATGGCTAAACTTAAAATGTTATCAGTACCAAATGCTGATGAGACCATGTAGCAACAAGAACTCTCCTATATTGCTGGTGGAAGGGTAAAATGGTATAGCCACTTTGGAGAACTGTTTTGCAGTTTCTTGTAAAAGTAAATACTCATATAACCTATGACTAGCGATTTAAATCTTCACATTCAATGAAAATAATGTGCTTAGCACAAAACACTTTGCTAGCAACTTCACTTAGAATAGCTTAAAATCAAAAAATCACTCAAATGTCCATCAATGAGGAATTGATAAACAATTGTCATATATTCACAAAAGAAAAACTAGTTATCAATAAAAGGGAACCACTGATGCAACAACATAAATACATCTCAAGCAACATAAATAAATCTTAAGCTAAATAAAAGTGAGTACATACTATTTGATTCCATTTATATGAAGTACTAGAACTAAGCTATGGTCAAAATAAATCAGTTGTTGCCTCCCAGGTGGTTTTGACTGGAAAGGGCATGAACGAGTTTCCTTGAGGTAATAGGAAGGTTCTAGATCTCGTTTGAATGGGTGGTTACACAAGTGTAGACAACATTCAAAACTCATAAAACCATGTGTTTGAAAAACATGAACTTTATTGCATATAAATTATACCTACATTTATTTAAAGATGTTAACAAAAGGAAATTTGAATATTATGTATGAGACCTAATCTTAAATTGCAGATGAGGAAACTGATCTAAAGGCATCAAGTTATTTTCAACAAGATCATGTCATCTGTTGCAGCATTAGAACTAAAAACCTGGATCTCAGATATCACTGTTCTTTACATTTCACCTCTCAATCTTTAATAACAGAGACAGACTGTATTTTAAGACATGATTCTCAAACCTATGTTAGCAGCTCAACAGTAAAATATTCCCAGGGATGATGACTTAAATTTCCATTGGGAAACTGGGCAGTGACAAAGAGCTATGTGATTCAATGCCATGGCCTATCCCAGCTTGATGTAAACTCAGTTGACACTGATCTTCTAGATTGTTCTTTTGAAGTTTCCCTATGGTAACTGTGGTTGACACATGTTGATTACATGGGGGATTGAAAACATTTTCTTTTTTATTTAAGGTACACTTTGGTGTATAGAACCATCACATCAAACTTTCTGTGTGCTGGCAGTACATGTGTTTACACTGTATGACTTAACTTCTGGTGATACTAGGTGATTCAGTCCCTAACAAAAATCTTACATGAATTTTCTCCATAGATAATAAATCTTATGATTTCTCCATCTGCTGACTTGTATAATTAGTCTCAATGGAGTCTCAAAATTGCACAAAACATGTTGAGGTTTTTTCATTATTGTAATTAAGAGGTATATCTTGTCAGAAAGATATTATATTCTGCGACTCAACTTATTTTAAAGGCAGATCTTAGGTCATATCCATCTAAATATGCTGTTCCTTCCATCTTAAAGAAAGAAAAGAAATTGGCCTCATTTGTACAACCATGTATTACCCATTTCTTTGCCTTCATTAGAAGCAACATTTCTTCTAAGAGTTTTTTTTTTAATCTTTTAAGTTTGTTTATTTATATATATTTTACATTATGGTTCATTTTTGTGCAATATTTGCTTTCTCCCCTCAGGCGTATTCCCCATAGAACTCCCACCACCACAGCACCTGTGCACCATCACCATGGTCTCCCTCTTCCCAATTTCTTTTAAATCTAATCAGCCATACTGCTGTACCCACTACTCCAATAAAACTTCTCTCATCATGGTTACCATCTGAATGATCATCTCTCTCCCATGGATTCCTGCTTAGCTTTTTAGCAGGTTTCTTACATTTGTTCTTATATTCACAATCTCTTTTCAACAGAGTGCCCACAGTGATTATTTAAAATATATTAGAATATGTCAACCTCTGTGCAAAACACTAAATGAGCTATCATGTCATTAGAAATAAAGCAACATTCTTAAACTAGGATTTGAGACCCTTTATGACTTATTTCAAGGTAATCTCTCTCATCATTTCTCCTTATGGTAAAATTTGGCCCAATGTTCCCATATTGAAGCCTTGTCTCTAATAATCTGCCAAGTACATAATATGAATATAATTATTTGACTATCTCTTCTCCTTCAAGTCTTTGCTCAGTTCTTATGTCCCCAATGGAGACTGAACATCCTTTTTAATACTGCTATCTGCTCAGCACTCCCAATTTTCCTGATGTCACTCCACTTTACAATTTATTCCATAGCACTTAACACTTTCTAAAAACCATACTGCTTTCTTTTTTGCTATTATGTTTTTAAACATAATAGCAAAAAAGAAAGCAGTATGGTATGTTTTTAAACATAATAGCATTGGGTTACAATGATGTTTGTGTTTGAAAGGTATAGGATCTTCCCCTTAGGTGTTATTACATTTATTGTTTTTGTCCTATCACCTGTTGAAATTTCAGCTACATGAACAGGAAACTTTGGTTAACAAATATATACTAAGCACCTAGTACAGTGCCTGGCCATAATGTAAATCCATAATTAAATTTTGCTGACTCTTTGGTTACAGAAAAAATGTATAGAACTGTAAAACAATTACACAAGTAGAGATAACTAGGTACCAAAGGTAAATTATTATTATTTTTGAAGCAGCAGAGGCTATCTGAATAGGTGACTATGGTTACCTATTATAAATCAGGAATAAACATTTTATCCATTTCACACTGATTATGGAAAGTATATTTTATATTTATTCCAAAGGTGATGAAATAAACTCCCAAATATGAGTTAATACCAAAGCCCCACCCATTTTCACATTTCCAAAATCTCAAAATAAAAGTCTCTTTGCAAAGCAAGCAGGCCCAAATCATATGCAATGTGCACACTCTCATGGCATCATTACTTTAGAGATGCTCTTGGTAGAAAATAAACAGTCATCATTCTAAGGCACTGCAATGAATGATCAAAATCCCTCGGTATAACTCTTCTTTGTGATCCTGAAGACAGTATACATTGAACAGTGCACTATCACATTCTCAGTCAAAAAGTTTTCTAAATTCTTAATATATTTGCTCTCTGCTCACCACGGCTAAACATCATCTGACCACTTACTGCTGCCAAAGATCCCACTGAAATTTTCTTTAGTTAGCATTCTACTTCCTGATGGTCTGGCTACTTGTTCGAGGATTTGTTGCTTTTATTATGATCTCTATCTGCTCTAAACAGTTAAATGCTGAAAAGGGCATTTGGTTAGTTGGAAAATATCCCATTATATTCTGTATATTAAGCATATGATCTTACCTTCTTACTAGAATATGAAAACAACTGATGGAAAGTATCATTTTTGGAATATGTAAATCCCAAGCCACTGTCATAGTTATTAGGTTTTGACGAATCTGGTTTCTGAGAAGATTCTTCATATTTATTTTCTGGGTGATCAATTTCTTCAGTAGGGGTATATTTTAAAACAAAACCTCCATTAAAGTTCAATGTTTTGTCTTGGAGGATCGTTTTCCATGATACAGCCTCTTCTTCATAATGCTCACTTCTTAAATTTTTATCAGCTTTGGTCTGAAAGAGAACAACAAAGTATTAAAAGCCATATACCAAAAAGAAAAAAAAAACACTCAAAATACTGTAGACAGTACAAGCAAACAAAAATAAAGGGGTTATCTGAAAGGCGGTAGAACAAAGGCGGTAAGAGTGAAGGCCAACTGAAATGACTGCTGGGCTCCAAATAGAAGTTCTGTGACCGGACATGCCACAATAACCTCTTGAGTCCTCATCTGTAAAACAGGGATACTCACTATTCTTAGCTCAAAGGCTGTTATGAGGATTCAATGAAATAATTCAAATGAAGGGGCTTAGAAAATAGTCGGCTTTCAAATTGCTATATTAATAATTTAAAAGCCTGTTGCATAACAGATGCACAATGTACTCTAATTTGTGTTTAAAAAAAAAAAGAACAAAAGAAGAAATGATAAAACTATCTCTCTGAAGGCTTATGGGCCAGAGACCATTCTGAGTATTGAATGCATGTAAATTAATTGCAACAGTAAAACCAGGACACGAGACTTAAACTCTCTAACTTCAAAAATCATCTCTTAACTTTCACATTCTACTGCCTGTCCTTCTCCTGGAAATGTTTTCATATGGATAGAAAATTACTGGAAAAATAGGCAAAATACCATAGAGAGTATCTGTCCTTGACAAGAGGGATTGTGAAATGGGAATCTGAAGTGGGAACAGGCTTACTTTTCCTTGCATAATATTTTGCTGTTTATGAATTTTTTTTTTATTTTTCCCTACAACCTTCATTTTTGCATGAAAAATAGAATTCAACCACCTAGTTAAATATTAAAAGTTCCAGTTAAAAGTTTTCATTAGAACTTTTCACCATTTGCTAACTTGTCTATTGTTAGGCATCAGTGGAAGAGCTGTTAACCTCAAGGATTCAGCTCCCTTTCTAGAAGTCCTCTGAAACAGATATAACTCTTGTAGGGGAAGGAGATACCTATCTCTTCACTCAGGATTCAGTAATCTGGTATCATATATTCCAAGTCTGTTTGTTGTAGAGCAACCCCGATACAAAACGGGGTGCCTGACTGTGGGTCCTCACCCGCGCGCTTAAAAGGACTTATCAATGCTCTACTGCAGGCACACGTGAAAGGTTAATAAAAGGTTTATTTACAAGGGAAAGGGAAATGAGGAAATGTACAGCTCTGGGAGAAAAGTGGGAGACAAAGTTTTAAATGAGTCCTACCCGATCCGCCGATCAGGAATCCCAAAATGGCGCTCTGAGAGCTGGCCGCCAGCCAGGAGCGGTGAAGCCAGGAGGCGAGCGATCGCGAGCCAGAGCGAGAGCAAGGCCCACGTGTTTGGTTTTTATATCCAACCTGGCTGCCCAACTCCACCCTCAGGTCCCAGCCACCCTCCCCTTGGTGGTGATGGGATTTGTCTTTCCCAATGTCCTGATGGCTTTAGTCTGGAGTGGGGGTGGAGTCCACAAAGCCTGTATGAGATTATCTCAGGACATCCTTTCCCCCTAACATGTTCACACAAGAAATGCTGTGATATGAATGTTTGCATCCTCCATTGAAATCCCAAAGCTCCATGTGATAGTATTGGGAGGTGTGGCCTTTAGCAGGAGCTTCATGAATGAGATTCATGACCCCACAGAGCTCCCTAGCTCTTTCTACCATGTGAAATTTATTTTTATTTAAGATTCATTTATTTATACATGTAAGAACTGGGGTACAGGCCAGAGTTGTAGGAGGTGAGAGGATTCACCAGAGACAGAGTGGGGACAGAACAGGCAGACTGACTGAAATACACTGCTGAGGGGAGCAGCGGGTGAGTCAGGAGAGGTCTGCTGTGCCATGTGGGTAGCTCCCTGGCAGGCAGGGATCGAACTCGTGCTACAGAGGCTGCAGATAGCTTCACCCCTTGAGCCACATGGAAAGCCCCACTAGGTGAAGATATTTTTTTTTTTTTTAAAGATTTATTTATTTATTTATACAAGCACTGGGCACAGTCAGAAGCGCGGGAGGGTGAGAGAATTCACCAGAGCCAGAGTGGGGAGCAGAGCAGGGAGAAGGACCGAAGTACACTGCTGAGGGGAGCAGTGAGAGGCAGGAGAGGTCTGCGCGCCATGCGGGACCCTCCTCTGGTGGCCGGGGAGCAGCCGGGGATCGAACCGGCACTGCAGAGGCTGCGGGCAGCTTCGCAACCCAGCGCTCAGCCGCTGCGCCACAGGGGAGGCCCCCCACTAGGTGAAGATTTAATGAGAAGTCTATAACACAGAAGAGGACACTCACCTGACACTCCTGCTTTCTGATCTTGGACTTTCAGTCTCCAAAATTGTGAGAAATAAATTTCTGCTATTTCTAAGCTACCTAGACTTTAGTATTTTGCTACAGTAGCCCAGAGAGATGAAGAGAAGAAACCTAAAGTTCCCATATAATGGGAAAGGCTAAAATGTACATACTTTTCATTAAAAAGCAATATGCTCAATGGAACAGGGAAGAGTAATGTAACCACATCACTTCCCTGCCTAAAGGCATTCTAAATCATCCCATTGCCTTTAAGACAAAGCAGACTTCCTCCAAGTTAATCTCTCCTTGATTTTACATCAGTCATCTAGCCACCTTTTTATCTCCATGGCCTATCTTCTATCTTCTATCTCTATTAAATTCCTTTATACTGTTTCTGGAATGTCCCCTAACATCTTCCCCAGTCCTCATACTCCCATCACAAACATCACACACACACACACACACACACACACACACACACACATACACACACTTGCACACATGCATACTATATCCTTTGGTTTATTAATTTCTACTCCTATTTCAAATCTTTGCTTACAAATGACTTCTATTTAGGGAGACTTCTTGTTATCCCACAGACAAGCAAATCCTTTTTCTAAGAGCTTCCATTGTTCTTCTTGTAAAATCAAATCAAATCAAAAGCCCTTCCCATTTTATTTTTTTAATTTTTTTTCTTCCCATTTTAATTGCTTCTTTTAGAAACCTTCAAATGGTAAGCTCTAAATTGTTCAGGATAATGTCTGTCCTGCCCACATACCACCAAAGATGCGCCACCTAGTAAGATTTCTGGCAGGTAAAGATGCTAATAAAAATTATTAAATTTAATATGCACATCCAATATAGCTAATAGTAATAACAAAATAACTATTTCATGTAGAATAGTACTTTTAACTTCCTACCTTTAGGGTAATTCCTATAATTACCATTAGCAAAATACTTATCTGTCTATAAGAAAATAAAGGTTAGAAAATGTTTCCAAGGTCACGTAACTAGAGCATGACTCACCCAGCACTGAAAACCCCAGGAAGTCTAATAAGAGGGTTCAGTTGGTAATTCTTTTTTCAAAAGATTTTATTTATTTATGTTTTTGCATAGAACTGGGCTGCAGGCCAGAGGTGCAGGTGTAAGAGGATCCACCAGAGACAGAGTGGGGAGCAGAACAGGCAGATCCACTGAAATACACTGCTGAGGGGAGCAGTGGGCGAGACAGGAGTCTTGAGACAGGGCAAGACAGGATGAGACATGGTATGCTGTGTGCCATGTGCTTTAATTCCCTGGCAGATTACACTCAGACCATCATGGTAGGCCATTGTGGTGATAGTGTTGACTTAATCCCTACGCCACCAGGGAGGCCCCTGTGTTGGTAATTCTTATGCTACATTGCCAAAAAAAAAAAAAAACTTGACAAATTTTGACTCATGAAAAAGTTGTTTTGAACTTGGTCTTCAAAAAATGCATACCATTTCTATGACCTTGGGCTCTAAGGCTAGTGGAAACAATTAAAGACAATACTACTCCACATCATCAAAACTAAAAAGTACCAAAGCTGAGTAAAATGGCACCAGGAAGACAGCTTTCCCTAACTTTGTTGGTAGGCCAGGATCTTCTTAAATTACCGTCTTCTAAGTGATTGCAGAATCAGAGTGGTGTAGTTTGTAGGTAATTGTATTTATACCTGATATGGCTAGAAAAGAACCAGCATGAGATAGAACTATTTGACAGTGTGGAGGAGTACTTGCAGATGTAATATTGGTCAGGATGTCAATTATTATTTTGCTACATGTAGCTACATATAGCTACAGCAAAATAATAATTTTGAATGGGCTTTTCAGCTGAGCTAGGAGGGAAGTAGTGAGTAGAATCTGAAAGAGAGAGAGAGGGGTCACAAAAAGCAACAAACAAGAGCTGGATTGGAAAATATTTATCCATACAAATCAGTCTTAAGTCAGTTCAGGAATAGACTGGTATTTGGAATCATCATGGAGAAATAGAAAAATACTTTGAAAAGATGACAAAATACAAGATTATAGAAAGCAGGAAAATGCTAGGGAGTGAGCAATTTTCTTCATAAGAATCAAATAAACATGTTGGAAAAGCTGAAATCTGAGCAAGGCACAAACATGCAAGGTCTGCATGTTTCAGGATGCCTATAATAATATTACAGGGGTCAGTTAAAGCTCTCCTGTTTAAAAAACTATCCAGTTGATGCTTCTTGACAAGAAATAATCATTATTCTGGGAGTGGCAGAGATAGGACATAATTAAGAAACACTTCATATTCAATTAACAAGATTGAGACAGCAATTGGAAATAGAAGGTAAACAGAGAAAACATTGAATATGCACTAAGATTTTGTTTGTATAATGTATATTGAAACCTCATATTATTACTTATTAGTCATCTCTCACTAATTGAGAGAATAAACAGGGAAAAAAGCAGATTGACTACAGCCTCACCAGATAACCTCAGCTAAGGCACCTATTAAAACCACACATATTCCTAACCCTTAGCCACAATTTTGGGGATATTTGAAATCCAGAATTAGATAACAAAGTTTTTTCTCTTTGAATGATCATTTTCTCTGCCTAGATATTAAATGTTGGTCTGCTCTGGGACTACAGATCCCCACAGTCAACATTATAAAATTCATTTCATTTTTTCTTCTTGGAATGGACCCTTCTTTTAGCAGATTTCCCCCACCCTTTATTTCTCAGATCTTTTTGAAGGCAATTCACAG